ATTCTGGGACTCCATCATGGTCACCTCTGCTGATGAGCTCTGCATGGTCACCTGCAGCTTGCCACGCTGGCCAAACAGGAAATGAGATTCAAAAGTTCGCGGTTCTTTTCCTGTCTACCTGGCCAGTGCATCTGAGTTGAGAGTGCTGTCCAGAGCGGTCACAATGGAGCACTCTGGAATAGCTCCCGGAGGCCAGTACCGTCGAATTGTGTCCACAGTACCCCAACTTCGAGCCGGCAAGGCCGATTTAAGCGCTAATCCACTTGTCAGGGGTGGAGTAAGGAAATCGATTTTAAGAGCCCTTTAAGTCGAAATAAAGGGCTTCATCGTGTGGACGGGTGCAGGTTTACATCAATTTAACGCTGCTAAATTCGACCTAAAGTCCTAGTGTAGACCAGGGCTTAGAGTATCAAATCTGTCCCTCCCATTTGTCAGGGCAAGATGAAGGCCTTATACAGTTGTTACTTTAAAATCTTAGGCCTTGAATACTCTGAGAATTTGCCATGATTTCAGTCATCAGTACGAGAGATTGGTGTAGCTGCAGAGTGCAAACCCCTAGTATTGACAGGGTACACTGCAATAAGCTGTGCTTTGCATTGGTGAAGCTTACCCTGACTTGAAACCAGGATCGGGAGTCTGACTGGAGTGCTGAATACACTTACTTGAAGGCAATCGGAAATGAGGTGCTGAGAGCCCTTGCTGGAGCTTCAATATACATACACAAAAATGGTGGGGGCAGATTCAATGGTACACTCAGGCTATTAAACTGGGTTCAAGGCTGATTTACATCTCTGGAGCAGCACAAAGCAGTCTGAGCATATTGGTGAATGCAGCCCTACCCTACATATATTTGGTTGTACCCTCTCCAGACCACCTTTCATAGGTCATGCTTCTTAGACAGTGAGCTCTCTGAGGAAGTGCTTGTGTTTGTAAAGTGCTTAGCACAATGGGGCTCCAATCTTGATTGACATCTCTGGGCACAGATATAGCATAACTACTTCATTAATCACAATATAAATAATCTGGCCTTTATTTCCCCCAAAACACAGGGCACCTCGGGATGGTGAATAACAATAGTGACGCGCTAGGTTGAAATCACTAACGGAAACTGTACAATAATTTGGGCAAAGACGAGCATGTTAGATCCACCAGGACCTTTCCGTGGAATTAAAAAAAAAAAAAAAAGCAAAGAACGTCTGTAATTTTCCAATGAAGATTATGGAATATCCCAAGTCAGCTGTGACAAGAGTGATGACAGCACAGTGGTTTTGTTTTTTTTATTTACCCTTGAACAGATAACCTTCCAGATTTTGGTAGAGGAGTCTGTTTTCTTAGACACACTGGTGATGATGTTTTTCACTGTTACAAAACTCTCCCTCCCCCCCCCCTTCTTCTCTTCCGTCTGGGAACAAATTCATCCATGTCATTTGGCCAGAGCACAGATTTGCAGCAAATGCTGCAAAGGCCAAAGGCTTGGTATTTTGCAGGGGACTTTTAAACTATGATGATGGACTTCATCTGCATTGAAAGCTGTCTGAAGGACTGTCAACTAAGAGTACTAATAAGTGACAATATGTTGAGTTTGGGGGGATGAGATCTAATGGGGTGCTAAGGGGAGATGCTCAGGTATTATGCTGGTGGAGGGAGCCACAGACGTACCCAGACAGGTAGATGGTATTTGGTCCAGTGTTATCTCATATCTACATTAGTGATATTAGAAGAGCGCTTCCAGGCACTTTGTCACTAGAAAGACACGTGGAGGGAGTTCAGAAAGACCAAGAAAGAGGAGCGAGAGAGAAAGAGAATGATTTACAAAAATAAATTAAAATAGCGTTAAATATGAATAGATTGGCCTGCCTGCATGGTGACTTGGAATATGGGCGTGCAGGACATAATACAGTCACAAGGTGGGATTTCTGAAAGTGCCTAAAGGAGTGAGGTGCCCAACTCTTATTGAAATTCAGTGAGATATGGGTGCCTTACTCTCTTAGTTGCAAGTCTCACCCCCAGTTGGTTATGATTTGAAGGAGGGATTGGAAATATTCTGGGGCGGTGAAGGAGGATAACTAGGAAAAATGGGATAAGACTGAGAAAAAAGGACATTTAAAATGAATAGCAAGAAAATCCTCTTTAGACTGAACTCTCTTAGGCTGTGGAATGGGGGTAAAGGTGGAAACTCCAGATTCAAGAAAGAGGTAGGACAGTGGTTCTTAACCTTTTCCACGTGGGATTCCTCCCATTGTCTTCCACCCATCTGGCTTTAAAAACAGCAGTCAAATATATGGGGAGTTCTGCACTTGGAAGAAGGGGGAGACCAGACTCTTTTACTATTTGACATTCAGCCAATGTCAAAAACCTCGACATCCGCCCATCAATGAAAAGATAAATAAATAGGATAAAATAAATGAGCAACACAGAAAAGTCAGACAGACAGCTTCAAAAGCTGCCATATATTTAGCCAGTGTCCAATCAATTTGAACCCACTCAGTCAACACCAGATTCCCAACTATACATTGAGGTTTCTTATAGTCCCCTGTCTTGATACTCCGGCCTGTTGAAATAGTACGTCAGAGAACATTGCCATGGAATCTCTGGACATCAACCTTCTGCCAAACAATCCAAGTTCAGCCTAAAGGATTCCTTTCCTGAAGTTCCTCATGACACTGGTGCCATCACATACCAGCACTCCTGACTGTCTTACTGTAAAGCTGTCTATTCTGACACTCAGAATAATAGAAAGGGACCTTGAGATGTCATCTAGTCCCCTGTGCTGAGGAAGAACTAAGTATAATTTAGACTATCCCTGACAGGTGTTTGTCTAACCTGTTCTTAGACCCTCCAGTGATGGGAATTCCACAACCTCCCTTGGAAGTCTATTCCAGAGCTTAATTACTTTTATAGTTAAAAAGTATTTCCTAATATCTAACCTAAATCTCCCTTGCTGAAGATTAAGCCCATTACTTCTTATCCTATCTTCAGTGGACATAGAGAATAATTGATCATTGTCCTCTTTAGAACAGCCTTTAATAATATTTTAAGACTGTTTCCTCATATGTCCGGTTTTCTAAGCCGTTTATTATTTCTTCATTCTCTTCTGGACTCCCTCCAATTTGTCTGCATCTTTTTTACAGTGTGGTGCCAAGAACTGGTCATAGTTCTTTAGGTCAGACCTCAACAGTGCCAAGTAGAGTGGTACAATTACTTCCCATGTCTTACATAAGACACTCCTTTTTACTCACTCCAAAATAATGTTAGCCTTTTTTCAACTGCATCATATGGTTGACTCATTCAACTTGTGATCCACTATAACCCCCAGATGCTTTTCAGCTGTACTACTGCCTATCCATTTATTCCCCATTTTGTATTTGTGCACTTAATTTTTCATTCCTAAGTGTAGTACTTTGCATTTGTTTGTATTGAACTTCATCTTGTTGATTTCAGACCAATTCTCCAATTTGTCAAGGTCATTTTGAATTCTAATTCTGTCCTCCAAAGTGCTTGCAACCCCTCCCAACTTTGTGTCACCCAAAGATTTTATAAGCAGACACTCCATTCCATTATCCAAGTCATTAATGAAAAGATTGACTAACATCAGACTCAGTACGGACCCCTGAGAGCCCAACTAGATACGTTAGTTCAGTTTGATAGCACTCTTTTAGTGCAGTCTGTCATCCAGTTTTGGACCCAATTTATAGTAATTTCATCTAGACCACATTTCCCTAGTTTGCTTATGAGATTTTCATGTGGGAGTGTATCAAAAACCTTACTAATATCAAGATATATCATATCTACAGCTTCCGCCACATCCACTAGGCCAGTAACCTGGCCGAAGAAGGAAATTAGGTTGGTTTGGCATGATTTGTTCTTGACAAATCCATGCTGGCTATTACTTATTCTTCTAATATTCTCTAGCTGTTTACAAATTGATTAATTTGTTCCAGTATCTTTCCAGGTATCAAAGTTAGGCTGACCAGTCTAGAATTCCTCACATCCTCTTTGTTCCCCTTTATAAGGATAGGTACTATGTTTCCCTTCTCCAGTCCTCTGGGACCTCACTTGTCCTCCAGGAGTTCTCAAGGATAATAACGGTTCCAAGATTGCATCAGTGATTTCCTTAAGTACCCTAGGGTGAATTTCATCAGGTATTCCTGACCTGAATACATCTAACTTATCTAAATATTCTTTAACCTGTTCTTTCCCTATTCTAGCTTGTGTTCCTTCTCCCTTGTTAGTATTGTGTTAACCATTTGGTGATAATTAAGCTTTTTAGTGAAGAGCGAAGCAAAATAGGCATTAAATACCCCAGCTTTATTGCTGACATTCGTTATTAGTTCTCCTTCCATGCTAAGTAGTGAACCTACACTTTCCTTCGTCTGTCTCTTGCTTCTTCAACGTATTTACAGAACCATTTCTTATAGCCTTTTATGTTCCTTTCTAGGTGTATCTCATTTTGTGCCTTAGCCTGATTTTGTCCCTGCATACTTCTACTATTCTTTTGTAGTCATCCTTAGCAATTTGTCCAGGTTTCCACTAGGGCTGTCAATTAATCGCAGTTAACTCACATGATTAACTCAAAAAAGTTACTCACGATAAAAAAAATTACTCATGATTAATTGCAGTTTTAATCACACTGTTAAACAACAGAATACCAATTGAAATGTATTAAATATTTTGGATGGTTTTCTACATTTTCAAATATATTGCTTTCAATTACAACACAGAATACAAAGTGTACAGTGCTCACTTTATATTACTTTTATTACAAATATTTGCACTGCAAAAATGATAAACAAAAATACTTGTATTAGGTGAATTCAAAAATACTATTTATTTTATTTTTACAGTTCAAATATTTATAATAAAAATAATATAAAGTGAGCACCGTACACTTTGTATTCTGTGTTGTAATTGAAATCAATATATTTCAAAATGTGGAAAATATCCAAAAATATTTATATAAATAGTATTCTATTTACTGTTTAACAGTGCGTTAATCCCAATTCATTTTTTTAATTGCATGATTAATCACGATTAATTTTTTTTAATCGCTTGACAGCATGGCTTCCCCTTTTTGGAAGCATTCCAGGACCTTTGACCCTGGGAGACTGTGAACAACTCAAGTGTCTGTATTGTCATGCTCCTGGCCCTCTATATTTCTAAATGCTGAACACTCTACCACAAAAGACTACCTTTTGCATCCACCACATTCTCTTCTGCCCGTTGCTTTTCTTGAACATGGGTCCCATGCAGATAGTGGGTGACTCATCCAAAATCTCAAACCTGACCTAAAAGACCAGATTTTCAGAATGAATGATTTTGGATGCTGGTAGCACAGCAGGGAAAGACTGAATGGGAAGACTGGGAATGTGTATCCGAAGCGTACCAGGCACTAGAATCCATAAGCTCTTTTAAAGCAGCACAAAGGATTTCTGGGGAGTTATTTCAACAGGAAACTCCTTGATCAGTCTCATGAGCTTGACAGAATGCCACATGAGCAGTTCTAGCATTCCATCCATCGGGAGGTACTAGTGCACATGCCAGGAGGCTAATAGGAACACACAGACCACTGTGGTCTTTATGCCATGAGAATCTCTCAACAATTTTCTTTTTCAGATTTTCCCATTTATCAAACTATTTACAATCCAGTCTGTGTCCAGATCAAAAGAAGACTTTGTAATCATTGGGATGGAATTACGCCCTGGAGCCACTGGCACTAAAAAGTGCTTTTGGTTTTCCCTTCCAGCTCTCAAAATATGAAAAGGCAACATTTTGTTTCTACCACTTGATTCACAGCAGAGTCTCCCCAAACTCAATTCTGCTGTCTGGCTGAACTCCACGACAAGCATTCTAAGCATAACAGTGCTACAACTCCTGGCACGCCAGAGAGGACTAGCCCATCAGATGTTCCTTCTGCACAGTTCACATTGTCTCAGACAAGCTCTGTGCGCACCATTCACTTTGTGAATCTTCAGGTTTTGTGTCCTTGCTGCTGCAGCTCTCCACGTCATCAGGCCTCGGGCTGCTATTTTTGTTGCCGTCCATTAACTCCTGCTCCAGCTCTTTGCTCTTCTTCTTGCCGCACTGGCAGAGGTCACTAGAGTTCTCTAGCAAGGTGATGCACAGGTTGATGACCAGGGCCAGCCAGGCCATCCCAAAGAGGATCCACACAGATACCAGGTTCTTGTACCAGCAAGGGTAGGTGAGGTCTGGGTTCATCCCTGGAAGAGAAATACACCAAACATTTACAGACATTGGGCCAAGAGTGCTGTAAGAGAAACTGTATAGCTAAAGCTAAAGCAGAGGCTTGGGTCGAGGAGGACTGTTGGTGTCTGCTCATCAGCAACCCTGGGAAAAGCCATGGATCCTTTACATCCCTCCAGCATGGCAATCATAAGCACCGACTCCATGGGTGCACCGGGGCTGGAGCACCCACGGGGAAAAAATGGTGGGTGCTGAGCACCCATCGGCAGCCCCCTATCAGCTCTCCCCCTCAGCATCTCCTGCCCACGGATCAGCGCCTCCCGCCCACCGCAAACAGCTGTTTTGTAGCGTGCAGGAGGCTGGGGGGAAAGAGGGAGGAGTGAGGACATGCCCTGCTCGAGGGAGGGGGTGAAATGGGCGGGGCAGGAGTGGAGCAGGGGCGGGAAGAGGTGGGGTGTGGGTGGGGCCTTGGGGGAAGGGGTGGAGTGGGGACGGAGCCTGGGACAGAGCTGAGGTCAAGCACCCTCCCGGCACTTAGAAAAGTCAGCGAGTGTGACGGCAACAGTGGTGTTCAGATACTACAGAGACAGGTGCGCTATAAAATAGATTAGATAGAAATATGGGACAGCTATAACTCTCCATGCTGGCTGGTGTAGCCTGGTGGAAATATCACAGAATGGTACTGCTCCCTGTACAAAATGTGAACATGCCAGCTATCTCGTGGACATGCCGGCACTGTAAAACACACCTGTGTCATGGCTATGTCAGCAACAGCTCCACAATGCACGGTGAATTGTAAATATTACCGTAAAGAAGAAAAACCAAACCAAAATTAGATCCACTTTCAAAATGAAATTGCTGACAGGCCCACGGATGTGGTTACATTTATGTAGTCCCATTTGCCTCTGTTTTTTGCTAAGCACTAAAATACTGTCACAGGATGGCAGTGTTTGCTTGAAATACCCTATCCTGTTAAAAGAAAAGGAGGACTTGTGGCATCTTAGAGACTAACAAATTTATTTGAGCATAAGCTTTCGTGAGCTACAGCTCACTTCATCGGATGTAGCTCACAAAAGCTTATGCTCCAATAAATCTGTTAGTCTCTAAGGTGCCACAAGTCCTCCTTTTCTTTTTGCGCATACAGACTAACACGGCTGCTACTCTGAAACCTATCCTGTTAATAGGTGTTCCTGGCTGGGAGAGGGCTAAGGGGCTTCATAGGTGCCACGTTGAGCCACCTGGCATATGAGTGAGGTGAAAGTGAGCCTCTGAGAGAGAGGGGGATCTAAGGTAAGGACTGAGCAGTCCTCTGGGAGAAACCCTAGGAGCAGACAAGCCTGGGGAGAAGGTTTGAACTGAACTTTACCCAAGAAATCAACCAGAGGCAACATACTTAGATTGTAAACTCTTTGGCCAGATACCATCTGTTTGTCAAGGGCTCCTAGCTGCTATGGTAATATAATAAAGCCAAACCCCAGAAAGAGGGTGAGTTTGGTTTCTACCTCCTGCTTGGACTGTGTTGAGAAAACAGTTTGGGAAAGGCATCTGCTCAGTGACACAAATATACACTAGATAAAAATCACAAGCAGGAGATAAAGTGCTTGCATTAATGTTTTATTCATCGCCGCTTGGCTCCTAGCATTCATTTTTAATGGGAATGTTTGTCATTTTCACCACAGAAAACCCATGGGCTGTGCAAACATTACGGAAAAGGATACAAAAGGCAGAATTAAAAAAAACATACTAGCACAGCAAAGTTGCCAGGCAGCTCTCACCTGGTGCCAGGTCATTTATAATCTTCTTATTTATTTAATGGTGAGTAATCTCCACTGGTTCGTAAATAGCCCAATTCTGGTAATAAACAAGCTTGCCACTTTGCCTACATTCTTCCCCTTCTGGGCATAAAGGCTGCAGTTCAGCCCTACACAGAGATGAACACAAAAACTTTGCACCACCTACGTCCCACTTAAGCATGGGGTTTAAGTAACCCATAGGCTTCACACCAGCTTTCTGCACAAAGGTGAATTTCAGCCAGAGACTCTTGCAGGCTCCTTGGCTGTCAGTCAGGGACCTTTCACCAGTGCGAACTTCATCCTGAGGTTTAACAGCCATTAGCAAAACGGCTTCTACAAAAAGAAGTGAAAATGGCAATGCGATGGACCATTCCATTCGATCCTGAGGAGGGGAAAGCTTTCTCCATGGAGTTCACCTGATGGGTAAGGTGTTTGAAACGACCCAGTTAGACAGAGGAGAGGATATGAGCCAGGCTGCAGCATCTATACAGCAGGAGGGTTGATCGGGAGTGTACAGTTATAGATTTTAAGGCCAGAAGACACCATTATTGTATAAGACAGGCCATAGAGTTTTATCCAGTTACTCCTGTATTGAGCCCAATATTTCTATGGTATTAGGCTGGTTATGGAAGGCAGCTTACAGAGCTCCTCAGCAGTCAACCCTCTGCAGAAGATGGGGAGTAAAATCTGATTGTCTGTCTCTATGTCTAAGGGGCCCATCACTAAGGTAATTAAGCACCAAACAAGAGTTATGAAGAAAGGGGGTTGGGGAGGGAAAGAGTCTATAAAAAGGTATTTTCCTCTTTCTCTTTCCCAGGCCTTTAGGGGTGTGCATGTTTCTATATCTCGTGTTTTCAATGGGAAAAGCTTCATGAAAAAGGCGTGCCCTGTGTTTCAACATGAACACAGTCAGGGTTGGGCTCTGGCAAAGGGTTTCCTCTGGCAAAGGGTTTTGGAAGCTGAGAACACTCTTCCCCTGCTGCCTGACAGTCAAAACCTAGGCGTCTCTCTTGGATTTGAGAGAGGAGAAAGTAGCGACAACCTGTTTGTAGAGTAGGATCAGGACGAGACAAAATGCTCTAGGTGTCGAGGTTTTACGTCGCAATACATCACATTTTAATATCAGACTTCACGATGAAGGCTATAATGCTCTGACTAGTTCTGGTCTCACAAGGCGCAGGGTGGCTAGATGCAGAAGGACTTGAAGAGATTGCTTTCCACTTCCTGCCATACAGAGGAGTCACCATGCATGACCTGGCTATCTCAGAAACCATCTCCACCTCTATGACCCCTCCAACTCAGCGACCTACCAGTGCATTTGTCATCAGTCCTGGGAATCATTAAAGGGTTAAAACTGGTCTCCAGTATGCCACACACTTTTTATTGGCTTCCACTAGGTGAGAGTGATGAAATCCCAGCTACTTACCAATCACATAATCTCCAAAGCCTATTGTGCTGAGGGTAATGAAGGAATAGTAGAATCCTTCTTCATAGGTCCAGCCTTCTATCACAGAGAACAGAAATGGGGGTAGCAGGAGGAACAGCAACAAGCCAGTCACCAGCGCACAGGTCCTTGTCAATATGGTTGCTGCCTCCTAGTCAAACAGAAAAGAAAAACCCACCAGATATAAGGCTGGAAGATTAGAGCAGACAGCAAACAGAGGGCTCAGCACTTCTTGAGCACGTTGCGAGTTGACAGACACGTGCTGTCAAGACAAGATTAATGATCTAGCTCAGGCACTGCATCCAATGGCATGAGTGGAGTTGGCTGGGCCAGAACCAAAGGTTTTTGCCTTGTCCAGGCCAGGCAAAGTTCACCCTGTGCAAAGGGACATCACAAGCCCTTTGCCCATAAGTCTTGGTTAGAACCTCTTAGGGCATTTTTCTCCTTTTATTTACAGGATGACAATGATACCATTCACAGAGCTACAGAGCAAGGAGCTGCAAACATTCTCTCCTTGGAGACCAGTTGTTAATAAAGAGATTAGCTTGTGGACACCTCCCTTCATGGTCACAGTCATGTGGACCACCTCCCATCCCATTTGTGATCAGACACATGGGTGAAATCCTGACTCTACTGATATCAACCCCCCCATTGTCTTCAGTGGGATCAGGATTTCACCCAACATCTCTGTGGCAACTACCACTATTACATCCCATTACTATTATGGGATATTAGAATTACGGAAGTATTTAATGTATTACTAGCTTCTTTTATTGCAGCTGAAGACAAGGAGTGACAACCCAGGATAAACCAGCTTGCTGTGTATCACCAGATGTCCCTTGATCACCAATGGAGAACCTTTCCTGTAGAGAAGGCAGTATCAGCACTTCTGTTACCAGTCAGTTTTCAGGGGCGTACAGAACAGCCTAAAGTTGAAATGTGTTAGTAGCATGTGTCTCGGACAGAAATTCTCTCTCACCTCCAAGAAAATACATGTTGTATATTTAAAAATGTCTGGGCATGCAATGTATATTTCTGAGTTCCATGTCAGGAATTCAATAGGGTGAACAGTCCCTGTATGTCAGGGAGGAAGTGCTCCTTTGAGATTAGCTAGTAAATAACAGAATAGAGAAACAGTGGAGGGAACTCTCTTGTGATAGAGAGAATCAGACTGTATTTGGAATTGCACATGCTTAATGGAAAGGTGCTATTAGCTAAATTCTGAATGAGACATACAGAGGCAACATAAGTGAAATAAATAAAATATTCAGCACATACCCCAGCTTAGATAAAATGAGGGTGGGAATCTCAGTTCATTCATATTTGTGCACATCACTGAACCATAGATATTGGCTCATTTCAGCATGATGGGCAATCTCTACAGAACAGAGGCTGAGAAGAGGTACAGCAGGGGGTGCTACAGGTCAGGAATGGGGTGTATCCTCAAAAGAGGAAGGTGGGGAAAGAATCAGGCCAGGTTTGGAATAGCAAGGTTTGCTGCAGATCAGGACTGAGATACAATAGCACAGCTGTGGAGGGAAGACCTACACTTTACCTGTGTGCATAGTGCCCGACTCAAGCCAGTACCTCACTTCTGTGAGCACTAAATTCAGAGCCGTTTTCAGGTTTAATCCACAAATGCTCCCTAGTAATTCTGGAGTGTAATTCTGACTAAGACTAATGACAAGCAGATCAAATGTTCAGGCAATGTGAACTGCACCCACAATCTGGCATTTTTATTGTTATAGGGCAGGGGTGAGCAAACTACAGCCCATCAGGGCTTCGGATCCGGCCTGTGGGATTGCCAGCTCCGTGGCACAGTGGGGCTAAGGCAGGCTCCCTGCCTGCCCTGGCCCTGCGCTGCTCCCGGAAGTGGCTGACACCACGTCTTTCTGGCCCCTAGGGGAGGGCAGAGGGCTCTGTGTGCTGCCCTCGCCTACAGGTACCTCCCCCGAAGCACCCAGAGCGCAGAGCCCTCTGCCCACCCCTGTTCCAGGGGCTGCAGGGACATGGTGCCAGCTGCTTCTGGGAGCAGTGCAGGGCCAGGGCAGACAGGGAGCCTGCCTTAGTCCCGCTTTGCGCTGCTGCCACCCCGGAGTTGCTCCAGGTAAGTGGCGCCAGGCCAGAGCCCGCACCCTGAACCGCTCCTGCACCCTGCACCCCAACCCCCTGCCACACCCCACACCCCTCCTGCACCTCAACCCCCTACTCTGAGCCTCCTCCCGCACTCCAACCCCCTTTTCTGAGCCCCCTCCCACACTCCACACCCCTCCCTGCACCCCAACCCCCTGCCCTGAGCCCCTTCCCGCACTCCGCACCCCCTCCTGCACCCCAATCCTCTGCCCTGAGCCCCAACCCCTTGCCCTGAGCCCCTTCCTGCACACCACACCACACCGCCTCCCACACCCCACACTCCCTCCCGCACCCCAACCTCCTGCCCCAGCCCTACATTCATGGCCCTGCATGCAATTTCCCAAAACATTGTGGCTCTCGGGCCAAAAAGTTTGCCCATCCCTGCTATAGGGGAAGCTGCTCATCAGAACAGTAAGTAAAGCTATCAATTAACTAACAGCTCTTTGTGATATCAGTACAGATGATTCGGCTCCTATAAACCAAAGGTTAAGGTAGAGTAATCACTGCTTCCCTTATTGGATAATTCACCCCATCAAGCAGACAACCCTTCCATCTTAATGTGTGGATCAGACACTTATGGCCAGACTGCTTACCTGCCAGTGCAACTTCTCCCCCAGGCGCTTGGCACATCGCTGAACCCCAGACAGCATCAGCTGCCCAATCCGGTTCAGGAGGATGAGGTTCAAAGGAATCCCAAAGAGGGCAAAGAAGATGCAGAAGATCTGAGCACTCATAGTGCTGGGGCTCAGGTTCCCATAGCCTGGCAGGAACGGAACAGAGAGGGGTAAATTCTGATGCACTCCTCCTCCCCCACAGAGATAGACTTCCATTTTTTACACTAGGAATGGGAGGTCGCGGCTCGAAAGGGCCAATGCCAGTCCCCCCACCCCCATGTATAATTTTAATTACTCCCCATTGTTTGTAACATCCTCTCAGAGGCTGGGAAAAAAATGTCTTTCCCTGCCAAATTTTTTTCCCTGTTTCCATTTGCCAGTCACTGAATTTCCTCCCCTTACGCACTGCCCAAGCCAGGGATTTGACAGGAATATTTACTTCTTTGTTCTGGAGTGAGTATTATTGACGTCAGTGTGGCACTGGGAATAGGATTTGTTAGACAACTGCTGATACATAGCCAGTAGAAGACTATCTAGACCATAAAACATTGCTTGCCTTTAAGACACTACATAAATGTTGGTCTTTTCTTTTGAAGGGTGACTCAGAAACAAACACAATTAGGCTTGTGCACTTTTTGCTTCGTATACATTATAAAAAAGAGGAATAAAAATTACACGCAATTTTTGTTTCTCTTTAGAGGATGCCTTTAAGTTAAGTGATGGGGTGGCATAGAGTAACATTTTCAAAAGTGCCCAAGTGGCTGATGAACCTATGTCCCATTTTCAAAAGTGACCTTGTCACTTAGAAGCCTAAACGGCATTGAAAGTCTTTATCTCCCTGCAAAAGAACCAATATTCCCCTTCCCCCCCCCCGATCTTTAGTATCTGGAGGACATGCCCCTCTCGGGAATAGTTTTTGGTCTGAGGACAGGTCTATGCAGCAAATGAAGATGTGAACGTAGCACAGGTAAGCACACCCATGCTTGCTTTAATCTAGCATGTGCAGGTAACAGCAGTAGTGAAGATGTGGAGCCAACTGCTTCAGCCTGGGTTAGCAACCCAAGTCCATATCCACGACTTTGCTCTGTTGACCCTGAATCACTTGTCAGGACTGGCTTCTAATATACACCGCACTTAACACCTTCTGATATTTCACGTGAAGAACAGCTCTTCAAAGGGCTAGCTCTAAAGTTCTGTCCCTGGCAGGAAGCAGGGGTCTTGGAGAAAAAAAAAGGAGTATGTGATCATCTAATTAACGACTATCACAATGCACACGCCCATGAGTGCTGCATTAAGGTTGCACCGGCATTTCCTAATGTTTGGGTGCTTGACTTTGCAACCTTAATGTTCTTTTAACAGAGATTTTTTTAAATGTAATTGTCCATAGAGTCCCCTGCACAAGTTGTAGCTCTGTACAGAGCAAAGGGAGTAAGAAGTTAAAGAGGTCCAGGCACATGACAAAAGAGGGTGCTGGATAGTTTGGGCAGGGTAGGCTACTTATGAGAGAACATGTGTGGTGTTTCTATGGTTGGGTCTGTTCCCTGGGTGTGTTGCACTCCTGTGGGATTCTGACTGTTTCCAGATTCTCTCCTGGACATTAGACTTAGGGCATTTTCCAGGTTCCTTTGGTCCTGAGGGGACAGAACTGGGAGGTATTTATCCAGGAAAGCTGAAACTCAAACAGGAGTCATGCTGACCCAACGCGTATCTATATAACCAGCCAGCTATGAGTTTCCTCTCCTATCCTCTGTTTAAAATGAACAAAGGTTGCGTATTGGCTTGGGCTGCTTTTCCTTTTCCTCCCTGATTTCTCATTCCAGCACTAAAGTTTTCCACAGCCTTAGTGCTGCGTGGGCAAGAAAAGCTGGCAAAGGTAGGAAGAAAGGACCCTATTGTTAGGATCACTTTGGGAAACAAAACCCAAGAGGAGGCTGATCCTATCTCAATGTTCACAGAGATCAGACCCACCTTTCCCTTTGGGTTTGGCTATACTACGCAAATTACAGTACATCATCGTATCAGTTTTCAGAGGAACAGCTGTGTTAGTCTGTATTCGCAAAAAGAAAAGGAGTACTTGTGGCACCTTAGAGACTAACCAATTTATTTGAGCATGAGCTTTCGTGAGCTACAGCTCACTTCATCAGTATCAGTATCAGTGTAAACACAGTATAAACACGTATCAGTGTAAACACAGCCATGACCCTGCACCAGTGCAACCTGGGACTCACCCCAGTAAGCAGGTTGCACGAGTGCAAGCTCTGCCTTACACCAGAGCAGTGCATCTACATGGGGGTTGAACTGGCTCCAAAAACAGACCTAACTGCAATCTAGACAGGGCCTCTGTGCCACCCAAACCTGATGCTGTCATCTCGCTTAGGGCATGCATTACACAGTGATACTCAGGAAAGCTAAGTGAAGAAGGTGTGCTGTTAAAGTGCCTATATTAAAGCCATGGGGAAGCTCTCATTCAGAAGTGGCTTTAGCTTAACTCACTTCATTCCCTGAATTAAACTGAAGTGGTCTAAGGCCACTTCATTTCAGAGTGAGAGTGTCCACACAGGGGTTTAATGTGATCTAATTTATCTATTTTAAATTCACATTTTCAGTTCATCCCGCTTAACTTTCCTGAGTGCCCTTCCCCCACTGACTTCAGAAATGCACAAGCACTGAGAGCTCTTTGACAAGGGGAGGCTGACATGTGGCCCCGGGAGCATTGCTATGCAAGTCCCTTATCTTCAGTGCACAAACCAGCTTGTCACGCTCCAGCTCAGTCAGGGTAGTGGCACCGCCACCCTGAAGGTGACGGGCGCTGCAGCTGGCTGTTTCATGTAGTCTAGCTGCAGCTTTCAGGCTCCTAACAAGTTATCAGTGTGCCCAATCTAGCCTGGATGCCTCCTTACAGACAATGGGGCTGATTTTCAAAGGCTCAAAGGGCAGTTAATTGTCCAGCTGCCACCGAAAGCCTAGGGGAGTTGGATGCCTAACTCTCCTTTGCGCCGTTGAAATTCTGTCCCAGTGTCAATCTCACCATTTTTTAAAGCTTTCTGTGTGGCTTTTCGCCATGTGTCTACCTGTGCCAAGTCTGCAGCAACAGGAGCAGCAGTTAGCATGTAGATCTCAAAGTGTTTGCTAAAGGTGGAAAATTGTGATTATCGCCTCGTATAGGAATTGGTGGGGAACAAAGGCAGTGAAGTGACTGGACCCTAGTGGCAAGCTGCTGACATGTACAATTAAGAAGATTGTACTGGATTTTTTAAACTCAGGGAAAGCTGACAGTTGTGGGGAGCACATGGTTTAGACAGACACCTCCCTTAGGGGAGGATTTATTAAAGGGGATACTCTATATCCTAGTAAGGAGGAGAGGATAGAAGTTAATAAAGTACAAGTAGGAGCTGAAGAGAACAGTCAAATGAAAGAGTCCCATTCAGTTACATCACATGAAGGCAGACAACTAAATATTGACAAATTCTATAAGTGCTTGTATACAAATGCCAGAAGTCTAAACTAAGATGGGGGAACTTGAGTGCCTGGTATTAAATGAGCATATTGATCTAATAGGCATCACAGAAACTTGGTGGAATGATGATAATCAATGGGAAACAGTAATTCCAGGGTACAAAGCATATAGGAATGACAGAGTAATTCACGCTGGTGGGAAGCAGCACTATATGTGAAAGAAAGCATAGAGTCAAATACAGTAAAAAGCTAAGTGAATCAAACAGTACCATAGAATATCTGTAGATAGAAATTCCATGCTTGAATAATAAGAATATAGCAGTTGGAATATACTACTGACCACCTGACCAGGATGGTGAAGGTCATTGTGAAATGCTCAGGGAGATTACAGAGGCTACCAAAACAGAAAACCTAATAATGGAGGATTTCAACTATTCTCATATTGACTAGGAACCATGCCACCTCAGGATGGGATGCAGAGATAAAGTTTCTAGACACCATTAATGACAGCTCCATGGAGCAGCTAGTCCTGGAACCCTCAAGGAGAGAGGCAATTCTTGATTTAGTCCTAAGTGGAGCACAGATCTGGCCCAAGAGGTGAATATAGCTGAACTAATTGGTAATAGCTTTTAATATCCATGTGTGTGTGTGAAATACCAAAGAAACCCAACACAGTGGTAGCATTTAGCTTCAAAAAGGGAAACTGCACAAAAAGGAGGAAGCTAGTTGAATGGAAATTAAAAGGAAAAGTCACAAGATTAAAGTGCCTGCAAGATTCATGGAAACTTTTTAAAAGTACCATAATAGAGGCTCAAACTATATGTATATCCCAAATTAAAAAAGATAACAAAAAACAGAGGACCAAACAAAAAAAGACACTATGGCCAGTTAGAGACATAAAGACATCTTTTAAAAATTGGAAATCAAATCCTACTGAGGAAAATAAAAAGCAGCATAAACTCTGGTAAGTCAGTATAAAGGTATAATTAGGCAGGCCAAAAAAAGAATTTGAAGAGCAACTAGCAAAAGACAAACTTATTTGCCAAGATGGTCAGGGACGTAACCTCATGTTCTGGGTGCCCCTAATCCTCTGACTGTCAGAAGCTAGGACTGGACAATAGGAGATGGATCACTTGATAAATTGCCCTGTTCTGTTCATTCCCCCTTGACCATCTGGCACCGGCCACTTTCGGAAGACAGAATACTGAGCTAGATGGACCATTGGTCTGACCCAGTATGGCCGCTCATATGGTCTTATGTTTCAGTTGACCCAAATCAGCCTTTTTTGGCCAAATTTTTTTTTCTTTTTTTTTTGGACAAAACAAGTCCCAGCTCTAACTGGAATACTTCCGCTCATTGGGGAACTCCACTACCTGCTGGGAAGCCCCAGGAAAACAGTCACATATACACAGACAAGCATGGAGGAGCACTTACTTTTTTTTTTTCCACTGCATGCATCAGATGAAGTGAGCTGTAGCTCACGAAAGCTTATGCTCTAATAAATGTGTTAGTTTCTAAGGTGCCACAAGTCCTCCTCTTCTTTTTGTGGATACAGACTAACACGGCTGCTACTCTGAAACCTTACTTGGCACAGTGTTCCAGAGCTGCCAGGAATTCCATGATTCCACAGATCTGAGCTGGCCTTTAACAGTCTGTGGCAAAGCCTTAAAATACCATCTCTGACTGTCCT